TTCAATTGTTGGGGTTCTTTATTTCACAAATTGGGCACAGTTTGATATCTGGTCTTGGGCACACGTCTGGTCTGTGGCTGATCCTGCCATTCCTTGCAAAAGTGTATCTGTTTCCGGTACAGACAGAGATACTCTTATCATAGCGCTGCTGAAGTAAACTTACTTAGGAACTCTATTTCCTTGATAGAGCAGTATCGCATTGATAGTACTGCCGAGCGTCTTCGCATACGTTAGAGGGAGGTTTATTGTGTTCACCAGCGCTTCCACGAGCTGATCGTGATTATATTTAAGAGGTACATTGCGTATGATTCCTTTTGTCATATGCTCAGGGGCCCAAACGTATGCGTTCGTTTTGTACATCTTTCAGTTGATAGTCGAAACCTCCATCTTGATGATTTTCATCGATGTGCGTTCCCCGGTGTGCTTATCACCAAAGTGTTTTGCGTGGGTTTGGGGCAGATCGTGATCTTCTCGCCGTCGCCCACTCCTGCTGCATTGCATATCGCCTCATCAAGACTCACACCACATGTGTTCCTCATATTCAGTCCATCTCTCGGTCTAACAATTACGTTGATAGCGTCGCTTGGCAGCATGGGAATCTTGCTTGATCGTAGAACCTTGCTGACAATGCTTCGGTGACCTTGGTGCATCGGGCTTTGTGAAGGGGCATTGTCTTGTCTTATCACCTTGTTGTGGCTCACGCATACCCCTTTTTTCCGCGTAACTTTCAATCCACCCATCTGCAACGCCGTCAGTGTCTTCGTTTTCACTGGCGGAAACACTTCTTTTCGTTCAGTTCTGTGGTCCACGGCTTCCCCTGTCCCTTCCTAGTCTACCTCCATCTCGGTTGTTCTTTCAGTCTTCGAGTTCGACGCAGTATGCGCCAGGCCCGACCACCGTTAGGCCAAGACGCTCACTCGTATAGTTCTTACAGTTTGCGAGCCTTAAAGCTCGTAAAGCTGACGCTCACTAAGAAGGTTAGTATCCGTGGGTTTGCGATGACTCGATCTGTCCGATGATGAGCCACTTTCAAGGGTAGAGTTCGAAAAACCTGCGGAAACTTTCATAAATGGACGGACCGAGGTGACATGCGTGTGCTCCCACTGGCGACCGTAGGGCCTCTCCAGCGAGTTTGAATTTCACCCTTCTGTTCTACCGCCATAAATTTCATCCAAAGGTTAGGCCTACCTACCGAGCACGTACAAGTGTTATCGGCGCTTCTTTCAGAATAAATTATTTCTACGAGTAAGAACCACAATACAGCACAGCTGTGGCATAATTTACCTTAATAAAGCATTTTTATAGTGTACAGCGTCCGTGCAAAAAGCGAGAAACATTGATGCGACACGGTGCTGGCACTTTCTGCAAACTTACGCCTCCCATCACCGACAGCCACCCGTCGCACTCACCGCCTACTTCTCTGGCTTTTATGAGAGAACTCAGACTTTTCTATTCGTAAGCTTACTGAACCGATATGGTAGGATAATGTTTCCTGCACACTGCATTCGTTTTGACCAAGCCGTTATATAGTGGCACGACTGCACTGTACGTTGCGCGAAAAACGTCGCATCACTCAATCACTTATGTGGGCGTACCTATGATATGAGATGAGAGGCGCTATAAAATCTGAGCAGACTTCAGCGTTTAGTGCGAGTAAAACCGGGATAATAAACTTGACAGTAACCGCTGGTAAACTGTACCTGCTCCTCAGCCCACCTGTTTTTTTTTGTTGCGGTTGTTGCGGTTGTGAATTGTACGAAAGACATAGCGCTGACTCTATTATCACAGAGGAAATTGTTCTTGGGAGCAGTTTGTGTTTAATAAATGTGCCAGTTTTAGTAGCAGGTGCAGATCCATCTATCTGGAGTAAGCAACAAACAAAACTGAAGTTCAACTGGCTCCGCCTCGGTGGTCTAGTGGCTAAGGTACACGGCTGCTGACCCGAAGGTCACAGGATCAAATCCTGGCTGTAAAGGCTGCATTTACGATGGAGGCGGAAGTGTTGTAGGCCCGTGTACTTAGATTTGCGTGCTCATCAAAGAACCTCAGGTGGTCCAAATTTCCGGAGCCCTCGACTACGGCGTCTCTTGTATTCATATGGTGGTATAGGGACGTTAAACCCCACAAAGTAATCAATCATCGAAGTTGGATCGTCAGTTCGTAAGTTCACTGGCAATTTACCAACAAAATTCTCTCAAGTAGGCGTGGCGCAGTGGTTAGCGTGTTTAGCTGAACATTCGAAGGTTGCACGTTCGAATCCTCGTGGTCGAGTCTTTTTTATGGGTGCTTTTTGTATTGTTGTCTATAAATTTAGTATTTGATTTTCTTTAGTGGCAACTCGTCACTGTGGTTCTGACGCCGTTTCGCGCTCCAGCACATCCGGCACGTTATCATACCTCATGTGCCACCCATATTTCCAGCACCATAATCCCCTGAAATCTTCGATGATGGAATGCACCATTCCTATGGTGGACGTTTTTTTTAATGAGGACGGACGCACAGACAGACGCACGGATGACCGGACACTTCGCTCCACTTGTCATCATGCACTCCGTGGATATGCTGTGATATTTTGGGGGCGAAGCTCCATAAGCCGTCCATCATGCGGCCGTGATGTACGTTGTACTAATGGTAGTAGTGCGTCGTAGTAGTAGGTAGCCACCTCCACGGCCGCACTATAGGAGCGGAATGCGCGTACTCATTTGAATTGAGGAGGAAATGCACGCACGTTGATCATAAATAAAGAAGATAGTTGTTTCTGATGAAATAACTTACAGAGACGAGTATTGGTTACTTAATCTCCAACAAAATTTGCCTTGAATTTGATGCTTACTATAGAAAGCTAGTATCAGAAGGATGCACTTTGAGTACTATCTGACCAGAAATGGTTGCCGCGTTACACTCGCTGGGCGTAACCACATTGGTTTTAGCAAGTTTTAGCGAGGGTTGGGCCGCAGTGTCATGAACTGCAGTGGACACGATAGCAACAAATTGGAAGGCCACGTGCAGAATGGCAACCGGACCAAAATGTGCCCCATGTTTCTCACGCACAAAACACGCACAAAATGCACTCACAGGTACAGGTGAACGCAAATCAGCGTCTCAGATGTCACTTCACTGTGTCTAGAAAGCGCGCTCTTTTCGCAAATGGAGGCAGTGCAACGATTGAAGGGAGGTTCGTGTACCCGGTGACTTCAACAGAATTGTTCGGCGAAACCCAAAGGCCAGCTAAGAAGTACGACCTTCCACACCAAGAGGTAAGGGTGCGCGATCGAGCGTGCACCCCATCCTATCCGTGGCGCAAAGTACGCGTGGAATGAAAGCACGCACCCCTGCGTCCTGATTATGTGGTGACGCGCGCTCATTGAGCCATCTTGCTGGTAATGCTGAAAGCACGATCATGCCCCCCACCCCCTGAAATGCCCTTCACCAGCTGTAAAAGGTAGATGTGAATAGCTTGGCGTTTAAACGTTGAGCGACGTGCTTTTATGTAGTTTAGTGGTTAACGTCGCACTCATGTCTCAGCGGTCCCAAGTTAGATTCCGTGCGCCGGAGTCTTCTCTGGATTTTTTCTTTCTTGCGTTTTCATTTATATAGATATGTATACATATACGGTGAGTAACGGCGACGCCCATGTCGATGTCTATGCTGACGCCGGCAACAAAACCAAGCCGAGAGTATTCATACAATTGCTACCGAAATAAAAATGCACTCGGAAACGAGTCGTTCATGGTTCACCTTTGTCTCCTTGCGGGAGGCGCAAGCCGTCTGACGAGAAACACGTAGTCCAATACACAAACTTACTGTGACTGCCCATGAGAGTTGGCGTAAGGTCGTGCAAACGTACAGGTGCATATCTACGCTGATACACACATATATTGTAATAAAATGGTAAGCTGGGCGAGTTTCTACGAAGAAATTCTTGGTAGCATTTTGGCGCGCACAGGAAATCAAACGGAGGCTAGGAGAAAAACAAACGCGTGTTTGTCTCCTAGCTTTCCGTTTTCCCGTCAACTGTGTGCACCACGAAATGTTACCGAGAATACGCATATATACTCTTAAAGCGTTAACGTGTATAAATCAAATCGTCTAAGATAACGTAAACAGCATATATAGGGTCACGTGAGTCCTTCCAGACTGTGTTGCGTGGTGGTGTAGTGGATACAATCTCTGCTTGACACGCGGTATGCCTCGGTTCCAATCTCCGTGCTGAAGTGTATGTGTATGTGTTGTTAATACGTGGTTTGTGACTACTTTGTGCAGTGCTCTTGTGATGTGTAATGCGTTAATTATGGGTCGGAAGAACAAAAGGAAAAATGACCAAATCATAAACGACAGAAAAGAATCAGAACACGCTTTCTAAAAAATTCTGAGAAGTACCGCATATAATAGGGCCACATACTAGACTGTATGTAAGCTTTTTAATGTAGACCTGAAATACCGTTTAACCAGATAGATGGTATGCGTTACTTCAAGCAATCACTCTTAAATGGCCTTCTGGCAATGAGATGGCCTAGTATATGGAAGAGCCGCATAAACATAGGCCGCAAAAAAAGATCTGCTTCGCCAGAGGCCGCTTGAAAAGAGTAGCATAGCCAGGGGCTGCAAAAGAAAGCCATATAAATAGGCCACTCTGAGAGAGCCATTCATAGGCGTCGAAATGTTGGCTTACTTTCCACTTTATATGCGTTGTTTTAGGCGGTCCTTTGCTAAGAGTATATAAAATTTCGAATGAAGTGCCAAAGGCTTGCTTGTCCCCATTTGTCAACAGAAGAAAGCTTCAAGTGCTGAAATCACCTGACCTGAAGACCTAGTGTGTGAGAAGGCGATTACGGCAATTTCCTTCTGAGGAATTGATGACCTCGCGGCATTGAGGAGATCATGACACCTAAATATTTGTGTTATCATTTTTCTTACAAAATAACATGAATAAATTGCGTTACTGAGAAGACACATAGCATTCTACACTGAGTACCACTTGCACACAGCAAAATACGTACCAGCAGCTGCTGCTGTTGGCCTTCCACGGGGCCGGCTGCCGCGGCGGCGTCGCCCACTTGCAGTGGTTCGTTATCAATTATAATGGCCAGGTTTCGCACTCGTTCTTGAAGTCTGAGAACGCGCTCGAGGAGCCGTAACAGCGGCGCGTTTCCACCCTGTGCCTCGAGTAGCGAAAACAGTAGTCTGGACATGGCGGGGCTAAGGAGCTGGCCCACCCCGTCGTCTGGCAGCGCGCTCACCTGCTGAACAATGGGCAGCGTTAGCTTGATCCAGCGCACGAACGCCCTGCACGTGCCATGTGAGAGAAGACGTTTATTGAACATTAGACGTGGTGGACATTTACTAATTTATCCTGTAGCGCTGGATGCAACACAAAGACAGCGCTATTTGCGATGATGACTGGTACCAACTTTTCCACTAATTTACTTTCAGAAGCGTCGCAATCGCATAAAAGAGTAGGAGTAACAACATGAAACTAGTGCTCGGCGATTAAAAGTCGTTACTTGCAAGGAGTGTCTTCTGACAGTGAGGTTGTTGATGAGAGCGAGATCATGCATCACGCATGGTGGCTGCATCCGACAAACAGTCATTTGGTTTTGTTGTTCTCCAGTGCAATGCTATGTTGCCAGGTTCTCCTACTTTACGCCATTTTGGCTGATTTATAAGCATTTTGTCTACTAAAGGAATGCACCCACCAGATGACGTACGTGTGGTAGAGTAGCGCCATGGCGTGGAATGACTGGACGAGCACGAACGCAGGGCTGAGCGTAGGCGGAGACCACTGAACGATGCTCACGAAGAACAGGCTCCAATAGACCGCGTGGTACATCATGTCCAGGGCAAACAGGTACTTGCGGTCAGGTGCCGTGGAGTGTCGGTGGCTGCGGTCAAGAAAGACTCCCCTGCTTACGTGTTGAGCAGAGCGCACGTCCTCGAATCACCTTCGTTACGCACACGTAACACTTCTCGTGGAAGCGCCTCATTCCTTGGTGCTGCCTGTGATGGTAATAAAGGGCACCGGGTAGGCCTTATACAACCTAAGCCTTCCTGGTCAAACTGAGGTACCGATTTCTTAGTGACTAAGGGGTATGTTTACACAATCGACCCATCATTTTCTTTCAAATCTCCTGCTTCCTGAAAATTGCTGCAGATTAAATATAAATTCTGACAACACAGAAGTTTTGTGATTTTTTCACCATAATAAAACCAAACTTTTTAGTTATTTGTCATGTGTGAACATTTGCAATGCAAGGACTGTATATGCATAACTTTCCTTCTGCTTCAGTAGTTGTGTGTATTCATGCTGAATACAAAAAAAAAACTATCATTAGGCCATCTTGCAATGCGCGCGAAATAATGGCACCTAAGAGACAAGAAGTATGGCTTTGAGATAATCGAGAGTAGAGTTAAAAAACTGCTGAAGGTGATCACAGTGTCACAAACATTGTTCAAACATTTTATATACTAGCTACAAAATTGGTAATCATTGCCTAAGTACATTTTTCAATTCGGAGCCTCTCGTAATGCTTGTCTTGCTTCTTTTGTGAGGTGCCTTGCAGCTTTATTCCGCGATGTGTGCAAGAGCGTCAAAAATGCTTGATTCCAGTGTATTTGTTGCCTTTGTGTCAGCTGAAGTTTTTTCAGCGACGTTTGGAACAGAATAGTATGTAGCACTGTGAAGTTGGCTCCACCCTTCTAACAGCCCGCGACGAATACCATTAATGCAAAAAATAAAAATAAATAAATAAAAAAGTTTTCAAGCAAGTTAGCCCTAGTCGTGGTAGGCTGTAATTCTAACTATTTCAATATTTTCGCTCATGTAATATTACAACCAATAACTGCAAGATTAATAATCAACGTCGCAATCGTTAATATTATGAACCTAAACAAAGACAACAAGGACTCAGCAAGTCGATTTTGATTAACTCAATAGTCACACAGGGCCATTCTGCAAGCGCCTATGCAGTCTGAATTGCGTAACAAATAATAGGCATGTCATTTAGACCATACCCGTTGTCACTACGGATTTGATTCACTTCGAAAGGCGCTGTAAAGGCTTAGGTGTTCGACAATGAAAAGCTTGCTGGTTCTGCATTCTGCACCTAAAATACACCATTGGTATCTATTCACATTAACGAAAACTGTATGGGTTGCCACAAAATTTTCACTTACTGAAAACCTTACCCAAGCATCTAACTTTATCAGCAAGCACAAGAAACACAATGTCCTAATGAAGCTAAAACTGAAGGTGTTCCAACCAACGTGCTCCAAAGACTAACCGTGAATGTGAAGGCGCACAGATTCTATGGACTGCCTTAAAATTTATCCCACAATTTTCTATACACAGCTAACTATAAACAAGCAGATTGCCTTCTGTAGATCAAGTTTTTTTCAGAAAAGAGGAAACATAACCAAAAAAATTGAAGTGATGTACGGAATAATTTATCTCCGCCTCGTAACACTGCTCTTTTTAAATAGTGACATTTATAGTGACATTCAACTTCTTCATTCGTGCACTCTAAAAAAAGGAGGAGCGAGAATGAAGAAACAGGCTCCGTTTCTCCTTTGGCTCAGCTACTTTCTCCCTATTGGGCGCTTTACCCGTCGCTCCCTCTCACAGCAAGGACCAAAGGAGCAACGTTCCTCCTTCAGTGTTCAAGTTTTTTCTCAATCACGAAAGTATTGCCTGCGCGCTAGCGCACGCCGAGCCTAGCCGGCCGTGGCCAGTCGCGAGCGATTACTTTTAACTAATATTGAAGCAAGCAATTAAGGAGTGACGTTTTTGTAGTTTGATGGGTGTAGAGTAAAAGCGTCTTTTTTTATCGCCAGACACTCGCACAAGGCTCCGCACTATTCCGTGTGTCTCTCGTGTTGTTTCATACTACCAATTCGTCACGAATACAAGTGGCTCTGCTTCCAAAGCAGTCTTGCTTTATCGATTACCTTAGACTGTACACAAATAATGGATGTTTTCGGTGTCGACATACTTGGTAAGCATAAGCAACTTTTATTTGACATAGCACCAGTAGGACTCATGAATTTAACGAGGCGCATAAAAAAGCTTCACACCTAATTTTTAACATTCCAAGAAAGCTTATTTCACTGTACAGTCCATGCGTGACAACACGGTCATGTAAAATTGATGGAGTTATACGTGCCGCTACCGCCCTATAGTTGTTCTTTGCAGTTTCGCCCCATTAGAATACGGCTACCATGGTGGGAAATTGAACCTGCGTCCTCCAGCATAGTCACGCGACACCCAATGAGGCTATGCTACCATGGCAGGTGAAAGCACACAGGAAAACAGGCTGCAAAGTTCCACCGAGTGTTTATTTGCCAGACTAGGTTACAACCTTCAGAAACGTTTTAAACATCATCATAACTACACTATTGTGAAAGGAAACCAATGACCTCTGTCAGTTAAACCAAATACTTATTCACATACGTTTTGAATTGCCCATGCCAGCACAGATGTAAGACGAAGTTATGCACGCGTGCAGTATGTCTTTCTCGTCCATGATTCTCCTTTGTCGTGAGAAACTCAACACAAAATGCACTTCTAGTAACCGCTGTGCACAGCAAGTAAGTACTAACACTCACTCACCTCTGTAAAAAAAGGATTCTGAATCCAGGGTAATAGTAACCACCACAGTCACAGTGCTTACAACAAAAGTGTGGCACGCAATATGACTGCAAGTTGACACGCGAGGTGAATCGCGATGAGGCATCTGAAGCTGAAAAGCACGTAGGCACAGCATGCTATTACGTTATAGTAAATTTGCGCACTGCAGCTGATAATTCCTCCACTCAAGTAATCGAGCTGCTGTGACGCCAACAGCCACTGCCATCGCTCACGGAAGAATACCGTCGGGTGCGAGGTCATCTCCTATTCCTCTCGCAAGACCGGCGTTGTAACGTATTTATACACTGCTAAGACGGTCGTTACCGCATCAAAACATTGAAGGGCTAGCGGTGCACTGTATTCAGGGCTAAACGTCACACTTGTGGTAAGCACGCTAAAAAGAATACAAGCAAACGTTAACATGAAACAGCTAAACGAGGTTGACGCGACCACAGAACACCTACCACGACGGAGACAAAGCCTGGCCTCGATGCTGTGCCCTCTTCGAGTAACAGGTGGAAGAATGAAAAAAGACGTGACCTCCAAAATGGCAAGCGCACGGAAAGGATTTGCGTCCTCGGAGGCATCAAGAAAAAAATAACTGTGGCAGTGATCGAGATATGACGCAGTGCTCGGAATGCCGCTGGCATTCTAAGCATGGCTTGGGGTAATCGTTTTCGCATAAAGCTGATAAGCTCTAGCAATTATTCTGTTCATAATAGTGCAACAATTGATAAACTTCCGTTTGTCTAAGCTTAAGATACCACATATTTACGTGTGCGCATGTTGTGGTACGGCGACAAAACGTAAAAATTTGACCAAAACTTTCTTGTAAGTTGGGCCACTGTTGTCACTTTAAATTTATTGCTATATAAGCTTTTGCGCTTTCATAGTAAGGTGTGAGTTAACACGTCGAAGTGTGTGCCACTGTAAGAAATTGCTGATTGTACTCTTGGTAATTGAGTTCACTCTATATGCGTACTATGTGTAGCATGTGTCCTTGTGTCCATATCTGTATGCATTGCATTAGCATATATTAGGCATCCGGTGCCAGTGAGTAATCCATGAATGGGCTTTGTCGCTAACTATTCATAAGGCTGCCCTGATGGTGGATATCACAATGTACGTCGCCACAGCCAAACTTTCAATTTTTAGTTGCGTTCAGTCTCTCCAGATAGTGCCAGCTACCACCTACTTCACGGCTGTGACGCTCTCACACCTCCCGCAACTTACTTTAACGTTGCACATATATCCATCAAACTACACTACTGAGTCGAAATGGTTTCCGCTGCGATCTAGTCTACGGCTTTGAGGCACATCTCGTGACATGCGACCCTGTAAACGCGTGAATAACGTCGCTACACTATGTGAATCTGCGAGAAATAAATAAAGATAGCCTAGCATCCACTCTTCGGGTGAGGACTCTGCAGTGTCCGTGCCTTTCAAAGTGAACGTCGCCTCGCTGGCCGAACGAAACCTACTTTCTCCGTCGTTATCTTTCGCGGTGCTTTCATCGCCACAGGTTCGCCTGCTTTGTTTTTATAATCAATGTGCTCAATATCAAGATCAGCGTGACCATTTTTTGTAGATGTCAGTTCCGTGTTGATCAGTCGAGAATCGATGCATTTGCTAAGTCCTACTCGCTTCGCTAACCTGCGATCAGCCATCTTAATTTTCATAGGGAGGAACATGTTTCTCCGTGGCAAAAGGAGCAACGTTTCTCTATTTAAGGACGAACATTGGGGACATTGCCATTTCTCGTTAATGGAGAGACCGACACTCCATTTTTAAGAGCGTGCTACGCATAACAACAAATCCCACTGTACGCGAGCTCTGCAAACTATATATATATATATATATATATATATATATATATATATATATATATATATATATATATATATATAGGGGAAAGAAGTGTATAACTAAGTGCTCTTTTTTCCATGTTCTGACACAATATTTATGAGATTTAACAGACAGTATTACCAAAGAATGTATAGGGGAAGATATTAGAACAAATAGAATGTCAGTAAGACGAAATAAAAGTTGGTGAAAAAATAACCAGCCGTAAGCAGGAATCAAACCTACGACCTTCGAATGAAGCGTTCGATGCTCTAACCACTGAGCTATCACAGCGGCCTTCCCTCACCCCACTTTTTTGGGTTTATATGTGAATTTAGAAGTAGGAGTGTCGGTCGGCACTATCTATAAGCCAAGCGGCGAGTGTGAAACACCCTTTTGTGCGCATGTGTGGCGTCACGTAACACGTGAACTTATTACGAGCAGGAAGCTGACCAATAGTCCCTCGTGTGAAACCTAATTACACCAAGTCTGGCAGTACGAGATCCTCGGTAATGAATAAGGGACAGAAGAGTAGACCTAAGGGCTCGTTTTTCCGTGTTTTGACACAATATCAATGAGATCTAACAGACAGTAATGCCAAGGAATGTATAGGAGAAGTTATTAGATTAAATGGAATGTCAATAAGAAAAAAGAAAAGTGGGTGAAAAAATAACCAGCCGTGAGCACGAATCAAACCTACGACCTTCGAATAACGCGTCCGATGCTCTAATCACTGAGCTATCACAGCGGCCTTCCCTGAACCCCCATTTTTGGGGGGTTCATATATGGATTTAGAAGGTTTATATATGGATTTGCCAATGGGCTTGGCAACACCACAGCTATGGCCACGGCCTCTTACCTGCAACGCCTTTTTGCCCTGCAGGCTTTCGTGTCGCTCTGCGGCCCGCGGTCCGGCAACGCGCGCTTCGGTGCCTTTGGTGACTTCCCGGAGGCGTCATGGTCCCTGGCATGGCTGAACGTCGACCGCTACCCGGACCCACCCCTTCGGCCTGTGCAACTACGACTGCCACAATCGCCTTCTGCGCCCCCGCGCGGAAAGTGCGTACCGATGCATCGACCACCGCTACTGGACCAAGTGATTACAGGATTGCTAATCTTCGGATAACATCCTCCTTGCCCCCGGACTACATAAGCTTGAACTCGCCCAACGCAGCCTTCAATGGGCTTGGCAACACCAATGCTATGGCCACGGCCTCTTACCTGCAACGCCTTTTTGTCCTGCAGGTAAATAATCGATACTCTCTGTATGCACGTCGTACTCGTTACGCCGCCCTCCTGGTGTTGCCAAGCCCACAGTGTTGTTTCAATGTCGTGCTTGATTGCGCGCATGTCATTAAGCAATTGCTAGCTTTGTCAGGCGACATTGAATTAAACCCTGGTCCTACCACTCGCTCTAACGTACTCGACTCTAGCGAATTGCTACAGTCGAGTGACGTAATGACAGCACTTAAAAACATCCAATCTGGTCAGCCTTCCATGCTACAAGAACTTAAGGCAATCCAGCAGAAACTGTCTCAAAACGATGATTAATTCAGGGAGATGAACAATAGACTAACTAAAGTAGAAAAATACTGTGAATCAGTATTGGGCATAAAAAAGCTATTGGACAATATCAGTAAGCTTTCAGACCAAAATGCACAAGATGTCACTGCAATCATGACCAAACTGGATGACTTTGAAGACCGAGCACGTCGATCGAACCTTGTTCTTTTTGGTTTAAAAGATCGGGAGCGTGAAACTTGGGCCGAATCTGAAGCCTCTGTGCTCCAATTTTGTAGCAAAGAATTAGAAATCAGTCTTGACGCAATGGATATACAAAGGGCTCATCGTTTAGGTAAATATAATGCTAACAAAAACCGACCAGTCATCATTAAATTTGCACACTTTAAGGTTAGGGAGAACGTACTGTCGAGTGGGCGCAAGCTAAAAGGTTCGAACTATCGCATATCGGAGGACTATTCACCTAACACACTTAAAGCCAGAAAACTTCTCGGTGAGTTTGGAAGGGCACCGCAGCACCCTTACAAACTCCGTCATGATAAGCTTATCATTGGCAACAAAACTTTCATTTACGATCACAAGACTAACAAAGTCGTTCTGCGCCCGTTAAACACATAGGTTGATTGATTGATTGATATGTGGGGTTTAACGTCCCAAAACCACCATATGATTATGAGAGACGCCGTAGTGGAGGGCTCCGGAAATTTCGACCACCTGGGGTTCTTTAACGTGCACCCAAATCTGAGCACATGGGCCTACAACATTTCCGCCTCCATCGAAAATGCAGCCTCCGCAGCCGGGATTTGAACCCGCGACCTGCAGGTCAGCAGCCGAGTACCTTAGCCACTATACCCGTTAAACACATAGGCCCCAGCCGTACTATTCCAACCAGGAAATCATTCTCCTTTCTTTATACTAACATTAGAAGCATTATTCCGAAAGTTGATGGCTTACAAAATCTAATTAGCTCTTCAGAGTCAGATTTGTTCGTAATAACCAAAACGTGGCTTAACCCTTCAATAGCAGACTCAAAAGCTGCTACAATATTTCCCGGACTTCAACATTTTTCGACGTGACCGCACTAAAAAACGTGGAGGTGGAGTGCTGATAGGCAGTCATAAAAGCCTTCAATGTACAGAAATTCGTGTGGTCTCATGCTTAGAAATCACGTTCATTCTCTGCAATGCTTCTTATCCCCCCATGATAATTGGAGTTTGTTACCGCCCTCCCGGTCTCGACCCCCTTTTTGTACCGAATTTCCACATGGCTATTCACTCTGTAACTAAATCTTTCCGTCATTATCCGATACTTCTCTTCGGTGATTTTAATTTTCCAGCAATTTCGTGGAATAATCTGGCAAGCACAGCCGCCAAACACGGTCCTGAAAGCGATTTCGTCAACTCATGCCTAACATTTGGACTAACGCAACTCGTCACTGAACCCACACGTCAAAATTATACCTCCTCCAACACTCTAGATCTTATCCTCACTTCCGAGCCTGAGAAGGATTCCAAGATGACGTACTTGCCTGGCTTAAGTGACCATTCAGTAATTCATGGTACCTACCTCTGCCAACTAACACGCTCGTCTAAAATAACATAAACGATAACATTGTATAACAAAGGAAACTATTCCGCCCTAATCAATGAATTAGCAGAATTCACTACTTGCCTGCTAGCCGATTTTTCGCAGCGCTCTGTCGAGACTAATTGGTTGCTCTTAAAAAATAAAATCCATGACCTCTTCATAAAATACATGCCCACCATTACCGTCACCGAAAAAAAGATGTCCCCATGGTTCACAGCTACACTAAAACTACACAATAATAAAAAGAAAAGACTTTTTAGATCAGCCAAACGATCTAATAACATTTCTGCATGGAACAACTACTACGCTGCGGAAAGGGCATTCAGCACGCATGCTATGAAAGAAAATGGTTCTTTTTACTCACAGACTTTGCCGGCCATGCTGACCAATAACCCGAAGAAATTTTTGAGCGTTATCAACCCTCAAAATTCCCAACCACTGGCACTGTTTGATAATCATAACCTTCTGATCCCCGACGATGAAGCCGCCGAACAACTTAATCATTTTTTCCCTTCCATGTTCACTATCGAACCTAATGGCAACTTACCTTCATTCCATCCTCGTAATTACGACATGATGCCGGACATCACGTTTTCTCAACAGGGCATTGCTGAATTAATCGACTCATTAAAGCTTACATCTTCTTGTGGCGCCAATGGCATTAACGCTAAAATGTTAAAAAACACACAACCCATTGTCAGTGTGATATTATGCCATATTTTTCCGCAATCACTGTCTTCAGGAGTGGTGCCGGAAGACTGGAAAGTGGGTAAGATTGTACCAGTCCCTAAAAAGGGCCCTACATCCCAGCCTAGCAGCTATCGTCCCATTTCGCTCACTAGCATTTGCTCTAAACTAATGGAACATGTGATCTACTCTAACACCATCAAGTTTTTAAACCGCCACAACTTCTTTCATCATAGTCAACATGGGTTTCGCTCAGGATTATCCTGCGACACACAACTTGCTTCATTCTACAATGACATCAGTTCTAGCGTTGACCTAAATTTACCCACCGGTGCCCACTTTTTAGACTTTGAAAAAGCATTTGACAAAGTTCCGCATCAACTGCTACTCCTCAAGCTTTCTTGCTTAAACATTAATACATCGACGTTCAACTGGATTCGTAGTTTTCTGACTAATCGGCAACAATTTGTGTACGCTAACAACCATTCATCTAACCATCTTCCCGTAATCTCTGGCGTCCCACAGGGCACAGTACTTGGACCCCTACTTTTCCTAATTCATATAAATGACCTCCCAGCTAACATTTCATCAAATATTCGCCTGTTTCCAGATGATTGCGTCGTGTACCGTCCAAAAAAAAATCCTACCGATATTGCTATACTTCAAAACGACCTTAACCTTATTGCATCCTCGTGTAACGACTGGCTAATGTCTTTTAAAGTAAATAAGACATCGCTAATATCATTTCACCGTAAGCAACATTACCAGCAAGCGACTTATACCATTTCGGGCCCTACAATCCTAACAGCACAATCCTATAAATACCTCGGCGTAACATTCTCAAGCAACCTCACCTGGTCCACTCACGTTAACAACGTAGCATCCTCCGCTAATCGTGCGCTGGGTTTTCTTCGTAGGAATTTAAAACTTGCTCCCTCATCAGTGAAGTTGTTAGCTTACACCACATTTGTTCACCCTAAACTGGAGTACGCATGCTCGGTTTGGGATCCTCATCAATCTAATCTATCTAACCTTCTCGAATCTGTACAAAATCGCGCAGCCCGGTTCATCTACTCCGTGTACTCTCATCATTCCAGCGTTTCCGAACTTAAAACTCGTGGCCACCTCAACAACCTAGAATCACGTCGTCATATATCTCGGCTCTGTCTTTTTAACAAATTTTATCACGTTCCTTTCAACGTTCCAGCCATCTTGCCTGCTCATCGATTATCCAGCCGTACAAACCATCCCCGAACCGTTTATCCACCGCCAGCACAAACTACTGCCCACATTCGCTCCTTTTTTGTTGCAACCGCCCGGGACTGGAACAACTTGCCTGCCTTCGCCATGCACCAATCCGGCCCACATGTATTCAAGACCGTGATTGAATCGTTAATATGTTGCTAATTATGCCCATCCCTCATGTAATACCCCGACTGGGGTCTTTGAGGTATACTAAATAAATAAATAAATAAGAAGTAGAAGTGTCTGTCAGCGCCATCTTTAAGCCAAACGGCGAGTGTGAAACACCTTTTTATGTGCATGTGTGGCGTCACGTAGCACGTGAACCTATTACGAGCTGGCAGCTGACCAATAGTCCCTCGTATGCAACCTAATGACACCAAGTCTGCCAGTACGAGACCCTCGTTAATGAATAAGGGAAAGAAGTGTATACCTAAGGGCTCGTTTTTCCGTGTTTTGAAACAATATCAATGAGATCTAACAGACAGTAATACAAAAGATTGTTTAGGGCAAGATATTAGAACAAATGGAATGTCAGTAAGACGAAAGAAAAGTTGGTGAAAAAATAACCGGCCGTGAGCAGGAATCAAACCTACGACCTTCGAATGAAGCGTTCGATGCTCTAACCACTGAGCTATCACAGCGGCCTTCCCTCACCCCACTTTTTTGGGTTTATATGTGAATTTAGATGTGGGAGTATCGGTCGGCACTATCTATAAGCAAAGCAGCGAGTGTGAAACACCCTTTCATGTGCATGTGTGGCGTCACGTAACACGTGAACTTATTACGAGCAGGCAGCTGACCAGTAGTCCCTCGTATAATACCTAATTACTCCAAGTCTGCCAGTACGAGACCCTCGTTAATGAATAAGGGAAAGAAGTGTATACCTAAAGGCTCGTTTTTCCGTGTTTTGGAACAATATCAATGAGATCTAACAGACAGTAATGCCAAGGAATGTATAGGGGAAGTTATGAGAACAAATGAAATGTCATTAAGAAGAAAAAATGTGGGTGAGAAAATAACCAGCCGTGAGCAGGATTCGAACCTCCAACGTTCGATAACGCGTTCGATGCTCTAACCACTAAGCTATCACAGCGGCCTTCCCTCACCCCACTTTTTTGGTTTATATGTGAATTTAGAAGTTGGAGTGTCTGTCAGCGCCATCTATAAGCCAAGCGGCGAGTGTGAAACACTCTTTTATGCGCATG